GTCTATCCATCATCATGATCTTTCAAATTAACCATGGGGTATTGTTCCCAATTATGGGCTTAGTCTCAGAAATTACCAGGGATCGACCAAACCGGGAAGCTATTTCATTATAGTTCTCCGATTCTGTTTCCAGTGTCTTGGAAGTGTTTTTAAATGAATCTAGGATTTTGCGAGCATTTGCGTAATTGTACTGTGACGTCGAAATGCAGCACTGATGTATTCATAGAGCTAAGCAAATCCGCAGAAAAACCTCTCTTGCCCTTTTTGTTTCTTCACATTTCGCGGAGTTGGCGCTTTATTCCTGCATGCTAATGATTTCGCGACTCTTGAAGGCAGGACGAAGTGGTGTGAAATGGCTTTTATCATGCATCACCCTTGAGTTTTTCTCCAAACAAAACAATCTCCTTCTACTTTCCCATTCTTCCCTCCCTTTGTGGGAGAGGAAGAATGACAGGGTTAGAGACAAATGATTGATCAAGCAGAACACCATTGTCTTATGTAGTCTTTTCACACCTTGATTTGGCTCCTCTCCCACGCAATTGCCCTCTTGAGCAGATACACGGGGCTCACCTCGACCTACTTATGACTTTTACCTTGATTCGTCCAACATTGGGAAGCTTTCGGGGGCGCTTTGATGAACGGGTACTCACCTCGATACTTATGTATGTATATCGAGAATTGATACAGCTTGTTACCCCTCTTCCAAATATTGTGGACTCTCACCATCCAGTCAACAGGTGATATCACCCATCCAGCGAATCCTACAAGCTTTCTGAACTTCCTACTCAAAATCGAGAAAAAAAGAAGATCAAAGACCAGAAGAGCTTTGTGAAAGTGAGGCGACGGCCGAGGTTTTCTAAATTTTATCCGATGTTGGAGGATCCGTAGATAACAGATTTTTGGAAGTATCCTGACTTTCTTTTCAGTATTATCCAATGGATGTGCAGACGTGTCTTATTGACTTGGCCTCCTATGCGTACACTGACAACGATATTGGTAGGTCCGATTTTCCATTGATATTTGGGTTACTATTTTTTCTTACGCTCTACTTAATAGGTGTGTATGTTCTATCAAAAGTCTCTCAAATTGTCAGCTACATAAATTTGCATACACTTTACTTACACTTTACATTTACCGTATTATCTCCCGCTTGATCGATTCTACTTTATGCCCCAATTAATTACAAAGCTTGTAGAACACGTCGCTAGGGAGCTCTGTACTAACACAGACTGCCCATTAGGATCAATCAAACAAGCGCACAGTAGCATTCTTGTTGTGAAAAACAAAAACGACTATATCGGGGCTTAAAGAGGGAAGTGAAACGAAAATAAACTCTCAAAAGAACACCGCAGATATTCGTCAGTGAAGGGGGGACGGCTAGTAGAACCAGTAATGTAATGAAGGCGCAGTCAGGAAACATCTCAAAGAAAGTTTTGAAGGAAGCAAGATCCTGAGCCTGAAAATCAGAGACTAATCTCAGAAGGAAATACCTATCAAAAGAATGTGAGAAACCGATGGGATGGGCGAGATAATAAAGGAAGTGAGTGCTGAAAAGGACGTGATGTTATTACCCAGCAAAGAATCGGCTTTACCGATGCATCCGGAGAAAATTCGGAGTGTCGAGCAAAAATTATCCACGAGACTACTCTGGAGTCATAGGAGAAAACCTTACAGGCGTTGGTGATTACTGCAGGAGCAGAACAAGTAGGACAACAATCAATCGACAATAATAACATTCATTCCGATGGCTGCCAATGTTTTCTTTGTTCCAAAGATGGTACTGCAGAATAGTTTTGATAGTGACAACCGAAGATAATAGTGAGAAAGGAGAGCTCTGAGAAAGAAGTGGCAAGGGAGTGTAAACACTGAGAGCGTTGACCAGGTCACTCATCATGTAGTGTTACTTGAGCTGCTCATCAAAGGGTCAAGGCATAAACAGTTAAGTTGATATTAGCTTGTTGTTATTACTTGCATCCTACAGCCACTTTTTCCCATTCATTTCGGTACTGCCCTCGATTTCACCTAAAAATTGATCTCCTTCAGACTTCTTAGGCGTCGGTAGTCGATGTTAGAAACTTCGTGACAGCTATCTCTGAGAGCAACAAGGCCATCTTACTCGTGATGAGGACGGAAAGCACGAGGTACTTGGGATGCCACAAAATTTCGGCACCATTTTCTCGAAGGAAAAACTCCAATCATATTCAGCCGATTCTACGAATTGGAACGGCGACTTCATTTTACATCTTCAATGCACATCTTCAATGAAGAGCAGATGCGGGCTTTCTCAAGCTGTTTTCAGCATTAAAAAGTCTTTAGGCGTTTCGAAATATACTTATAAAAGGGGTTGTGGAGTATAATTTGGAACCTCGTTACTAAAGCGAATGGAGTTCCAGCCGAAAGAAAAGCTGTTGTGTTAAGTGGCGATCACGACCCAGTGGTCCATTCACAAGGAAAACTAGGCTGAATCATCCGCTACAATCGCGAAGACTTTGATAAAGACATTATCGCTCGCTTTGACGCGCAGAAATTCTCTCTCGAGAGGGATGTCTGTTTTTTGGCTTCTCTACTATACTTCTCTACTCACGTACTTGAGCTCACGCTTACGCTGTGTTCAGAAACTTTGCATAGCCAGGCATCTATAATAAGAGCATTTAGGAAGAGTGATCGGAAGCTCTGCCCATTCCAGGAAGGGCCTAAGCACTCACCTGTTTATTTTTGAGCAATCTTCTTTGTTGTCGATAGAGTGATTCTATCAATGACTCAGCTTGAACTACAGGTTACAACAATTTGACTTCTACACCTTTCAGAATACCGTTGGAAAGAAACTGATCCGGTGCAGCTGAAAGACGGTCTCAATTCTTCACTACCCAGTTTTCAACTAAATAATGTAAATTTCTTGTTGCTTAAGATCAAAACACTTGTTGTGGGTATTTAGCTATCCTACATCAACCCTTAGGTCTCAACAACGTACTGCACCAGCAAAACGAATACCGGCACCTACTCGTGCCTACGAACTGTGCTAGAGCTTAGGAGGCAGTTCAGGTAATTCATTTGCAGAGGCAAGAGATAAAGCTGATTTTAAAATTGAATTTAAGAAATTCATTTTCAGTTACTACTTGTTACAACTATACATACCGTCGACTATGTTGGTGATAGTATCATGGGTTTCATTTTGGTTGGACAGAACAGCGGTTCCTGCGAGAGTGACACTCGGGGTGACTACACTCCTCACAATGACGACGCAGGTACCAAATTGCTGCTGTTTGGTGCTCCCTTTGTTGTAAATAGATTAATGCACACAGGCTTCCGGTATAAACGCTAAGCTCCCACCGGTTTCCTATACGAAAGCAATCGACGTTTGGATTGGCGCCTGTCTCACGTTTATCTTTGGAGCACTACTTGAGTTCGCATGGGTTACCTATATCTCCTCAAGGAATTTCGCCAAATGTAAGTCCAAGCCATGAACTGATCAGNACTCTGTTGCGCATTTGATCAAACTGGAGGAATTCAATTTCGAACTCAATGAGCATAGCAATAATGTGAACTGTCAAGTGAATCGCTCTCAAAAACTCAATGATTAGGGTAGGAAAAATCCGAAAACGCTCTAACTTCTACGATTTCGAGACTTTGCAGCTGCCGCAACTACCCGGAATGAGCCCCGAACAGGTTCTCTGATTCTCGCAAACCAACAAGTGATAATTCCTCCAACCACGGTCAGTTACCAGAGATTTTCGTGCAGTTTTGTCATTTTCGTGCTTAACAGGAAGATGTTGTTTTGTTAAGATAGATTTCCGGTCGAATAATTCGGAAACAGAAGTTTGGGTGAAGAGGCGAGAGTTCGACGACGCCGCTGAATTGCTTGTACTCGGTAATCGGAGGAATCCCAACCGGTAATCTCATTTCCCTCTTCAGAGACTTTGACGCAAATCTTTTTTCATGGCGCATTACAAACTTGTATATACTTTATCAACGGAAAATAACATTTTCGATGGATAGTATGTAAGATTTCTTCAGCCTTTCCAAGATTTCAATTCTTGTGAGGCTAACGTTTTGGCAAGTTCGCCTTCGTCACAGCTTGAAAGTCGAACAACCATTGAAATTGATTCTATAATAGGGTAAGATAAACCCGGGCAGTTCTCTAGACGAGGAGACCCTCTTAACCCGGTATACAAGAGGCTTACCTTGATCAAAATTGCCGGAGCGTTGGATCGACCACCTAAAATTTAATGTACGTTAACTTTTGATGGAATGTGCCGGATAATTTGAAATCGCTGTCCGCCTACTAAATTGCTTTCTTCTGAAACTTTCCCATTAGTGAACCACAAAAACACGAATCCCCCACAATGTCTAGGAGTGATCTGTGATGGAAATATGAAAAATAGAAGAACAGCCAAGGCCTTCTGTGCTCCGCCAGTTACAAGACCTTGACTTTTCCTTATTGTACCGACGGAACAGCTACCGCATCCCGACGATCAGTGGGAAAGACCATCCACAACTTCTATCCGCATCTCTTCTACATCCACGTCTACATACCTACCTACCATCTTAGGTAGAGCGCATGGCCCCCCTCTTTACGGGGTACCTGTGGGAAGCCAAAGTGCCCACGGCGGGGAGAACTAACAAGACTGTTGTTGTTGTTGTTGTTGTTTGAAAAAGGAGGTTAGATGATATTGGTAGCTACCACCCATTCTGCCCACATTCTGCGATCTATAAACTTATCACACAAGTTATCCATAACAGAATGGGCAGAATATTAGATGATGGACGACGGTGTGAACAAGCAGAGTTTTGGAGGGTGTTCAGTACAATCGATCACATCCACACTATCACAAGGCTCACTAAAATATTGCAGAAATACAGAACGCCGCTATGTCTTACCTTCATCCAGTTGATGATACCATTGATACAGAGGCGATAATTGGAGCTGTGAACAATCAGAATACTTCCAGTCAATACATGAGAACCTTCGTGAACTCTCGGACAACTTCACAACCTGGATTTCGACATTCTACAAGGAAGTCGTTGCCATTATGCAAAGAGGGTTTCGGCAGAGTATTACTGTCTCGCCCGAATTTCCAATGGCGCTCTCGAAAGATCAAGCGCCATTTGAAACGGGAAGACTTGGAAGTGAAGATCAACGGCCTCCACTTACATCATCTCCGCTTCTCCCCTTTCCGGACGACATCGTGCTTATGACAGCGAACATTGAGTAGCTGAAAAGATCCATCACATTGTGGAATGGACCACGCTTGAAATTTTTAGATTTACGAACGTGTGAGAAATGAATCCGGCCTCCTCAATTCTGTCAAAGTGCGAAAATCAGATGGGCTGGATATGTTATGCGGGTTTGTAATGATCGTTGGACCAGAGCAATTGGTGACTGGATTCCTCGGGCATCAAAAAAACATCAGGACGGCAGCCAACGTGATGGTCAGACTTCTTCACAAGAACTCTAAACGAACGCGAAGCTACTCCTTATGAACCTCAAACGAGAACGATCCAATGGAATATGCTTGCGTGCAACAAGGATGAATGGGGGCGTTACTGGTTCCTGCTTGATGCAATCCATGATCAACGAGCGACAGATGATACAGGAGAACTTCCGAAAAAACCCCTGCGAGTGAACATTTTAGGGTGTTCGAGTAATCTCGAAGTAACTCGAAATTTGAGTTTGATCATTGGTAATCGATCCAATTCTGAGAATTAGGAAATTTCATAGGTTTTTTTTGGTTTATTCTAGGTCAGCGTTGTTGGTTGTTGTCTATTTACGTTTGAGAGCATTAAGTTGAGTTTCGTTCAGAATAAGTTGGCTACAGCGATGGCTGCGGAAGTCCTGCGTCGTTTCATGGGTCCGGCAACAGCTCGAACCAGCCGATAGTGCCAAGAGGGCGGACCTTATTTCGAGTGAGTTGCCACTTTCTGCACTAATCAGAAGTCTAACAAATAAAAAGATGAACAATTTTGTTATTACACCCTTGTGGGATGTGCTCACGCGTATTCAACTCCCGTTCACAATCGTGGAGGCGTTTGAATGCGTATGTGGCCCGTACAATGATCTACAGGGTGAATAGAATTAGAAGTCACAGTTTCCACTCTACAATACAACTTGGTACCAACAACCAGATAACCTTCCCAAAATGGAATCGAGACTTTGTAAGAAGTCGGTTCGATACATGATATCGCCGCTTGGCAATCCCTCCTCATATGCATAGGTGTGTTGCCAAAAGTGCATCAAAGTGACTTTGAACAAGAAGGAGCACTTTCCAAGGGAAACTTGACAAAAACAAACTTCTCTGAAATAATCCGAACTCCTAAGTATATTACTGGTACCATTTTATATAGTTTCGGTACTTTTTCATGGAAGGAGAAGGAAATAATAGAATTTTCTCAAGATTGCGTAACTTTATTGGCTGACCCTTCGAACGCTTCACTTTCCGCAGGCCTCGACGAAGGAAACCTGTTGAGGTCGTTTTTACATGAGGCCAAACAATACTCACGACAGTCCTCTGAACCAGATTGAACCGAGCAAGATGAATACAACAGTGCTCTATGACTTACCCTTATCTTAGTCGCTCTAACGCAAGGTCGACTACCTAAGAATGATCTTCTGCGTACAATAAGCAATCTATCTCCTTGCTGACCTCACCATAGTTCGAAATTTGTAGGAGGAAGGGCTGTAGGTCGCGGGTTCATCCTTCCGCTCGATTTTCGGATTCCTAGAAGTAATTCAGGCGTCTGAAGTGCTTCCCTCGTCCTGGCCTCCGTTTCTAGTGCCAAGATTGCTGCGAAGTCGTAAACTCGTTACTATATGAGACTGAATTTAAAGCATTCCTAAAGGTGTCTGAGTGCGAGACTTCACTAGGCACCCCAAACATTCCTTACTTCGAAGGAACGCCCCGTTCCATCTATATACTCAATACCGCGGGCCTGACGTCAACTTTGATATTGACTCTCATACAGATGCCTTCTTGATTGAAATGACCCACAATGCAGTTACACACTGTCACACGTAGTACCCTAAAGTTTAATGGACCACGGGCTTCGACCCAAAGGATAGGGTTTCCCGGGGGAGTACTTCCATAACCCTGACTTCCTGACGATATCCGCTTAGGCCAACCGAGCCTTCCATCCTTCCGAGATCGGTTAATTGATACCAGATTTGCCTGGGAGGTCAACAGTACTGATTTGACACCGGCTGGCCTCCTCAGGTCATTGTGTAGGCCACATACACATCCATTACGCCACTACGATTCTGAATATAAGTCAAATGTGGGGCGCATCTCTTAGACGGTATTGGTTGATGCCAAAAGGCTTCATCCTTAATCCTTACCAAGAATGGTAAAGAATACATATAGCTATTCCTTTTGAGGAGCATATAATGAGGCAGTTGTCAATTCAGCGTCTGTATAGAAATGATATGCGGTCTAGTATAGGTTTCTCGGCTTTTGTCAGTTTCTGAAATGTATGCTATTGCCAGTACACGTGCTGAGCGTTGGCGGGTCCGGGAACTTCTCCCCTAACACGGCGTCGCACACGCCGCACCCGCCGCCTATCGCAGGATTGCGGTGAAAGATTGGAGCGCGCAATTTGTGAGGTAGGGAGTCCTTTAATCATTTGAATTGGCTGGTCGCTCCCTTCAATTTCAATGCGGTATTGATCGTCGTCTATATAAGAGGAGTCATTTCAATTAATCAAGTCTAATAAACAAGAAAACTATAAAGAAACAGAAGAAAAAACGATAAAATCCAATGAAAAAGCAAGCCAGTCAAGGAAAAATATCGCGTCCTATCGATTTTCGGGTGGCGGGGTGAGTACGGTAATTGCAGTGACATCTGCCGCATGCCGCAAGGGAGAATGCCGCGATAGGGGAGAAGTTCCGTTACCCAGCGTTGGCCATAGCCAAACCCCTCAATTATTGGTAGTAATCGCTCGCCTATCTGACGAGCACAACTTGAGCACTAATTTAAACAGTCATTACGTGCGAGACGGAGAAGTGGCGATGACCACTGGCGATTATGCCTTTCCTTATTAAGAAAATATGTGAAGATTAATGTCAGTAACCGTTGTCAAGAAGTTGTTTTGATGACAACTACCCTTCGTCAAAACTCAGTGTTACCCTCGGACTGGAACCTCACTGTGTTGCTGGTATCAAAACCTTGCCAAACAACAAGTTGCCGCTGATCTGATAGATAAAAGCATAAATTCTTGGAGCGTCAAACAATCCCGTCTGAGGGATGCGCACACGCATTCGACTTTCATTCAGAATCGTAGAGACGTACTGAATGCGTAGGTGGCCTACACAATGGCTTCCGGTGGCCAGCCGTTGTACATGTCAGTGCTTTTGTCCTCCCACACGAGTCTGATGCCAATTAATCTACCGCGAAGGATGGAAGACTCGACTGGACCAGGCAGGTGTCGACCCGGGATTTGAACTCGTGAGCGTACGTGTGAGCCAACTTTAACTATTTTTGGTTTTTTGGAATGGTGTTCACGCTCTGTCGCTGACTCTCTTGTGAACTCCCTTTTTCTCCCTTCCACCTACGAATCAAAAGTCGGCTTTAAAGTGGCTAGCTTAGTGTGTAAAGTGTTTCAAATTGAATTTACAGCGTCGAACTTATAGGAAAAATTGACCTTGACGGAATTTGACTTTCCTCTAGGCATCGAATTAGTTGAAATACTTAAAAACTCTTGAGCAATAATATAAGAGAGGAAAATCACAAATATAAAAAAAAACAGAAATGAAAAAAGAGAACAACTAATCTGCCGAGAAATCCGGAGGTTAGCACCCGCAGTCTTGCGACGAGACTTGGCTGCGCCAAATCAACAGTCGTCGGTTGCTTTAGGCCCTCGGTTACAGAAAAGTGCAGGCTCGATGAATACCTCATGTCTTGACC